TTTTTTTTTTTTTGAGACAGTTTCACTCTGTTGCCCTAGGCTACAGTGCTGTGGCATCACCTTAGCTCCTAACAACCAAGTGATCCTCTGCCTTAGCCACTCAGGCAGCTGGAACTACAGGTGCCCACTGCCATGTCTGGCTAATTTTTCTATTTTTAGTAGAGACAAGGTCTTGCTCTTGCTCAGGATGGTCTTGAACTCCTGAGCTCAACCAGTGCTCCTGCTTTGGCCTCCCAGAGTGCTAGAAATACAGGTACGAGCCACTAGGCCTCTTCAGTATATTATAAGCAACAGAAACTTATTTACATAGAAAACTTTTGGTCGCATTAATGACCTAGATAGCATTTATATCCAAAATATTTGGTTGGCTCACAGGAAACTTATTTTTCCTGACTTAATTATACACATGTATTAGGAAAGGCTTATGTAGTACAGACAGAAAGCTCTGTGTTCCCTTCTCTGGGGTAATCTGAAGGGTCATAGATGCCTGGTAGAGATATCCAAGATACAGAAGAATTACGTATACATATAATTTGTAGACTAAGGTCTAAACCTTTCTAGTTATAGAGAATCTGTTTTCTGTTTCAAAACAGATTTTCAATCTCTGAAAATAGGCCACTATAAATATGCTTATTATTTTCTTGGTGATGAGATCATTTATTTAAAAGACTATATCAATAAAGTATCTAGATTTTTTCTTTTCTTATTAGTTATTAGTGACATTCGTTGGTTACCAAACTAGTAGCATTGCACAAAGTTTTAAGTTTGTTTTAACTTCAGAGATTTACATATTTAGTTTTTCATATAATTCTGTTTTCTGAGCAACTATTAAAGTGATCTTCCTTCAAAATTATTTCTAAATATCCTGCACAATAACCAAGTGGATTTAAAAATCAGTTTTCTTAAAACATGTAGTATAATTCATCTTCAAAATAGCATTTTTTCTTTTTAGTAAAATTAAGTAGTTAGCCTAAAAATAGGATTTATTCCTATTTTGGAAGATAGTACATTTAATTCAGATTACGGTAAATTTTAAGTTTGTATAGTATTCATGCAATTTAGAAGCAAATAAGTAACTTTCCTTATCAAAACAATCTGAGTAGAATCTGAGGTCTGGAGAGTAGGAGGTTTCTTTTCTTTTATACCAGCCTATGGACTACTCTCTTTATATATATAAAGAAAGAAAGATCCTAGCTGGGCATGATGGTACACATCTGCTACCCAGTTACTCAAAAAGCTGAGGCAGGAGAGAATTGCTTGAGTTTGAGCCCATGGGCGGTGCCTGTGGCTTAGTGAGTAGGTCACCAGCCCCATATACCAAGGGTGAAGGGTTTGAACTCGGCCCCTACACCTAAGCCTAAGAGGTGGAGGTTGCTGTGAGCTGTGACATTACAGCACTCTACTGAAGGTGACAAAGTGAGACTCTGTCTCTTAGATTTAAAGGAAAAAAAAAAAGTTTGAGGCCAGCATGGGTAACAGATAGAGTAAAACACCCTTTCTTCCTTCCTTCTAGAAAAGTATCTCCTTGGCTCGGCGCCTATAGCTCAACCGGCTAAGGCGCCAGCCACATACACCTAAGGTGGCGGGTTCAAATCCCCAGCCCGGACCCGCCAAACAACAATGATGGCTGCAACCAAAAAATAGCCGGGCGTTGTGGCGGGCGCCTGTGGTCCCAGCTACTTGGGAGGCGGAGGCAGGAGACTCGCTTGAGCCCAGGAGTTGGAGGTTGCTGTGAGCTGTAATGCCACGGCACTCTGCCCAGGGGGACAGCTTGAGGCTGTCTCAAAAAAAAAAAAAAAGAAAGTATCTCCTTGTTAGGGCTAGTACAGTTGTGTCATAGTTCACTCCAACCTCAAAACTCCCAGGCTCAGGCAATCTTCCTGCCTTAGCATCCCAAGCAACTGAGTAAGAAAGAGAGTCTGACTGCCTGTCACTGACAGCCAATATGCAGGGACAGAGATAGTTCCAC